CCGATAACATCACAAGCAATAATAGATTCAAAGCTTTTATGCTACCTAGAATTTCGATGATTACTCTGTGAGATTTATAATAATGTTGGATTCAAATTGAAAGATATCCATATTCTATGCACAAGTATCATTAAACTTAAGTTTGAACTCATTTTATATTCGAACAAGTGGGTTTTGGAATATTTGTCAAATGACAATGAGAAGTGATGATGGAAGTGATAACCATAAAAAAACAAGGTGAAGGTTGAAAGTTGGATTGGGCAACTGCCAACTGCCCGGCCTTGTGCTGCAATTACAGTGGTTATTTTGTTGAACTGGATGGGTGCCCAATTTTATGCTGGGTGGCCAACTTTAACTGTTGGCTGCTTAAATTCTGGCGTCGTTTTGAAATGTTTCACACCCTTTGGGCTTGATTTTTGCACCTTTTTGTACATGTTGATTATAATTCTATATATATGAGCGATTTTCATAATTGAAAACATATTACAAACATAAAATACATTAACCAACATCCAAAGTCAAATATCAAACTAGTTTTCTATAATTTTGTTCTTCAATTTCTTTTTCCATGTGTGTTTGCTTGGTTCAAACTTGGATTAAGTTTTATTTACTTCACAAACTATTTGTCATAAAGCCTTCAAGCACTTACCCCGGTGGTGGCAAATATCCTTTGAGGACAGCGATTTAAAATCATGTTCAAACCTTCATTTTGTTGATTTCTTCTCGTTGGTTTTATTTTCGTTCTTCATCAACCTTGTTTAACATTTTATTGTTGTCTCCTCAAAACCAAAACCTCTGACGCTGGATATAGTGGCGTAACCATGGATTAATTGAATCCATATTTGGAGGAACCCCAATTGTACAACAACTGCCCCCAAAGATGATTATTCCACCATATCGTACGCTTTGCTCATGTTTAATTAAGTACAAGAAAGCCTTTTCTACAGTTTTATTGTTTTTCCATTATATGCAGTGACTCGGAAGTAACAATCACAGTACCAGTAATATAGTCTGTCATATACGAAAGCACTTTGATTTTCAGAAGTTAAGTCAGGCAAAATGTTCTTAAGTCTATTGGCTAGAAATTTTGAAACTATTTAATAGGCCACATTACATAAGCCAATAGGTCTATAATTAGCTGCATACTCAAGTTTTGCTTTCTTAGGGATCAATTCTAAATTAGGAATTAATGGCTATTACTGATTGACTATTATTCAGCATGTTATTAAGAAATATGTTTATCCCTTTACATCCTTGTCAAATTCTACTTCAGTATTGTTTTGGTTATCAAAAATGCGCCCAAAATCTTTTTCCAGAACCTTAACAACCTATGTCACCCCCTTCCATTGATCATCCCGATCCTTAGTTATAGAAATTTGGTATATTCAATATCCACTTGATGCTTGGGCATGTAAATGTTTTGCATTTTCGTCGATGGTTGCAACTGAAATTGTTCATCTCGATCCTGTAATGTTGCTATTGACTCATCAAAAGCCCTTAGTTTCCTCATATGACTTGCATTTGTTATGAAACAAAACAAGTTACAAGAATCACTTTGATACCACTTGTCGTGAATTGATAGCAAGATAATGACAATAATGAAATAAATAAGAACAAAAATAAGAATCAAGATTTATGTAGAAATCTAAGACAGGAAAAAGCAACAGGTGGAGGAGGAGAAATCCACTATATTCAATAGCAGTTGTATTTATAACAAGATCTTAATACTCTCCATTAAAATCTAAAACTCTAAAGATATTGTATGAATATCATGGGAACAATACAAGTCATGACTTGTGTATATAAACCCTAGAAACCAAGTTGTAGATGAATAGGAGTCCAAAAGTGCTTCAAAACATAAAATGGGTCTGGGCTGGATAACCTTGTTGTTAGAGCGGCAGCGAGTGACAACTCAGCCGCTCGAGCTCTAAGTGGGCGATGGGCGTGACAAGTGAGCAACAACTCTCTGTAGAAAATATACAGGCATTGCTTGAGAGGCTAGCTAGTTACAGGCTAACGAAAATGCGATGACATTTCTTCCAGGTCATAATTTTGATCTTTTCAAGATCACTTCAACCAAAACTTGAATAATTGCTAGAATTTGGGTCAAACTACAACAACATTATTTGGAGAGATTTATAAACGTGCAAACTTATCACTTTGCGTTTTGAGTTGCCCTCAACGTTCCCAAAATTTTGTTTATATGGTTAAAGTTAGGATATAGAAGTAAAGCTTCTATTGGATAAAGGACAAGGGGTTACGATATTTTGCACTTTCTGCCACAAATCTCCATGCTTGTTATCTTTACAATCAGACTAACAAAACTAATATGCCCCTGCAAGTAGGATCTCAACATGACCTCCAACTCATTTGTCTACATCAATATTAATCTTTCACTCTTCGGTTGCTATGCACAACAAAAATACTCTACATCCAATGCCCATTCACTAAATAGATAGGTTTAGACACAAAGACAGTTTCGGAAAAAATCTACAAAGAACACATGACGTAAAGTTTCAACATAGGCAACTCATGGCTTTCAAAGGTTTAGCATTGTAGAGTCCATTTTTAGGTCATTATCATGGAGAGCTGAATTCTACCAAGAATCTACATTGCAAAAGTATAAATAAGCACTCTTTCTTCCAAGATTTCTTTCCTTGATATTTACTTATACATGCGCAATGAAATTTAAAATATTCCTTCAATGATCTTCTTTGTGTTTAAATAAAAATCTTGATTAAAATTTACCTTTAGTAAATTCTTCAAACTTATTTTCAAATCTTGATCACGAACAATCACGATCTCTGCTAAAGCACTCAAACTCTAATTATTCATTTATGAATGTTTAAGTGGACTTAATCAACCATTAAACTTTAATTTTCTATGATGTTTCAACATGACAGTTATTTAATTATCAAGCACAGGAAACAATCTAATTAATTAATTCTTCAAAAGTCCCATACTTGTTAATTAATTAATTCTTACTTTCATTCATCTGGTTCTCGTATTTTGTGTGTGATTTATTAGATTCCGATCATTATGTCGAGCACCGACAATTATTATTTTGATATAATCTTATTAATTTATCGTTAATTCACCTAAATTAATCTATTCACATCCGTCATCCTCGATTGACATCTAACAATGGTCAAGATGATACACGTGATGAAAAATATTACGTGGTGTGACAAGCAAACTATTTCATTTATCGTGGAACTATAATCCATTTGTCAATATAACCCGATCAATTACGAGACATGGAGATGTATTAATCTCAATTAACCAATCATATTTTTCATTCCACTCTTAAATCAATAATTATCAAAATTCTTTTCAACTTATACTTACTTTCGTCAAGGGTTTCAATATTAGCGTAAGCGGAGGAAACACGAGTCATTATCTCTTACTATCTAAAAGTGACTAATTCTTTATTGATTATTCACAACATTTATATGATTTTTGTTATACCCGAACAATGACATATTCACAACTCTTGGTAAATCAACATCCAATATCAGCAAAAGTATGTTGTCCCTCATATAAGATACTATGACGACTTCAATTCGAAAGATATATTCAACTACCGAATTTTAAATATTAACAACTGACACTGAGATATGTATCCTCGTAGAATCTTTGCAGTGGATTTCCAATGTTTTGTTCTCTTAGCGAAACATACATATATCTTTTAAATATAATCATATTTTAACTTGTGAGATCAACTACTCACTTCATAAGTGAGATATGGACATCCTAATCTTTCAGTAATAATGACGTGTATCGATCATGAGTAATTTAATATTCAATTATATGTAACTTGAATCTTACAATCATAATTCCTTGTGATTAACAAGTTATCAAGATTCGAATCTATGAACTTTATCAATTTAGTTTATTGGAATAATAATTCAATTAAATAATAGATCTGCCATAAATAAAATGCATCAATCAACATATTAAAAATATTTACATCTTAAAATCGATTGTATCTAAAACATAATACTTGCACTTGTCTATTCTAGTAAACAATAATACTATTTAGCACCAGTGGTGTTAGAACGTCAGTTTAGATTGATATTAATTAATAAATTCAATAAAAAATAAAATTAAGTGATTCATTTTATTATACTTTTCACTTAATTTCACATTAGTGTCACTTTTGATATTTTAACATCAATTATACTAAATAAAATTACTCTTTGATTAAAAGGTTCAAATAGGCCATGTTCTTCAATGATGTACAATGATTTCTCGTTGTCAAGTTCAAAAAGTCAAAAATCCATGCCAACTAATACCTCAAACCCACTCATTGAGAGGGAAAAAGGATATTCAGACCAAATAGGTGTTCGTGATCCTCAATAGTACAATAAACACCCTTTTTTCTATCATGGTTAGGCAGACAAGTATTATGTTGGTTTAATAGTGGTAGGAAATTGACCAACAATCTCGTTAACCCTACTATAAATAATCAATTTTAATGTATTCCAAAGATCATATTAAACGGAAACAATCGGGTCAATATGGTTCTACTTAATTTTTATTCTTAAAAACAAACATTTTTGATGTCCATAATTTTGATATGATTTACGCAGAATTAGTCTATTGTCATTGGTGGACAAAATAAAAAATGTGCCAACCGTTAACGTGACATTGCCTCGTCAGTAAGTCAAAAGGTAAAATGCTCAACGATGACGATTTGACTTGCTGTCATCACTGTTGAATTGTTAACGATGATGACTTGACTTGTTCCACGTCAGTTTTAGACACAATAAGCTCATGCTCGCAGTAGGCAGGGGATCATCCGTAATGATTTATGATGTTTCTAAAATGCCACAACATAGGAAATTGAACAACACATTGTGTGTTAAGGTCCAACATTTGTACTAACTAATAGTTGGGGGCGGAAAAGGTAAAATAGACGTACATATTCGGCCGCTTTTGTTTCTCTGTTGCGTTGCTTAATAGTGTTACTCTTCACCTCTCTCTCTCTCTCACACACACACAGAGACAGAGACAGAGACAGAGACAGAGACATTATTATATGAATATGGTGCTTCGGGTGCTGAAAACCCCACGTTAAGGACCCATCTCTTCATGGATTCCTTGCTAGTGCCTCAATTTTCACCCCTCGCATCTCATTGGTACTCGTATTACCCCACCACATCCCTCCCCCTTCATCTTTATGTATACGCATGTATATGTGTATATGCATGACTCTCTTTATTGTGTTTCTGGGACTGACAAAATCTCTTTCAGGCTGAGAAACACCAGCCTTATGGCGTAATGCGGGCATAGTTTTTTGTTATTGAAAGAATTGTAAGCCATGGATGCTTCTTCTTTGGAGGGTAAAAAATCTCTCTCTCTCTCTCTCTCGTCTGTTTTTTCTTTTCTTTTTTTCCTTTTTTTTTTTAAATTTTTAAATTTTTGGTTTTTGTGTTCTTTTTTTTTCATAAAAAACATTAAGCGTTTCGATACTTTCGATGAGAAAATTTTGGATCTTTATTTACAGATATTGTGGATAATGGGTCATATAATTCATCTTGGATAATGGGTCATATAATTCATCTTGGATAATGGGTCATATAATTCATCTTGGATAATGGGTCATATAATTCATCTTGGATAATGGGTCATATAATTCATCTTGGATAATGGGTCATATAATTCATCTTGGATAATGGGTCATATAATTCATCTTGGATAATGGGTCATATAATTCATCTTGATCTGTTTGTTAGACTTATTCCATGCGTGATTTAGCTTTTTATTTTAATGGATTTTGGGATTATTTTTTTTATTAAACTGAGACAATCCACCCACCCACGCACGCGCATACAACTCACACACAGACACAGACAAAGTAAATTTTTGCTTGTCTCTAGCTTTATTATGCATTCATTATAAGTAATTATGTCAGAATTTATGCTTACCTAATTATTTTAGAGGATGCCTATAAGAGAGGAAAGAATGAAAATTCTTAAATATGCCAAAGAAATGCCAGCTGTTTTGCTGTATTTTTACTTTGAAGACTGGTTAACTAGATTGTTGAAATGTATTTATGTATAATTTTGTTGAAATTGACGTTTTCTTCTTAAAATATTGAATTGATTATTCGTTGTGGCACCTGTTGCGGAAGTTCATCGTGGGGGCATTATGGAAGTCAAAGGTGAAGTTTGTGTTACTCCGATGCTTTTTATTGAAATAGTTTATAATGGTTTATACCACCTAATTGCTATATCATATTCGTTCACTAGTTTGAATAGGCTAATCTTTTTCAATTTTTGACGTTTTTTTTCTTGAATCTTGAATTTGGGGTTTTGAGCGAAGGCTTTGGTTGCAATGTCCTGATTTATGTGCTCGGAAGAACTGTTTTTTGGACATAAATTTGGAACTTCTTGCCAATATTTTTTCTGTTACTTGTATTTCGATTACCGTTAATCCTTCTTCTTTCTTTTCTTATGGTGATTGTGCTGTAGCCAAAGAATCACATATCGTATTAAGAGAGATTCCACTTGCAGTCTGGATCAAAACCTTTTAGATTTCTAGCATTTTGCTAAGTAAATCATCCAGTTTACTCGTAATTGAATGCACCAACTCAATGGAAAAAACTAGAAGTCTGCATGCTATCTTACAATGTCTCACCAGTATTTGTATCTTTTCCTCCTCGTGGGTTTCGACAAATAACTAATGATTGCATTACATGTTCTATTAAAGAGACCATACAGCTGCTAACTCTAGCATTTTTTGGCTCCAGAGTTGGTATTTGATTCATCAAAGTGCAGTAAGTTAAGCTTGGAGCAAAAGAGAGTAGTAGTATATGAGTTGTCGAAGTGGTCAGATGGTGCAGCAGATATTCTACAAGCATGGAGCCGTCAAGATATCCTGCAAATCCTCTGTGCAGAGCTCGGGAAAGAAAGGAAGTATACGGGCTTAACAAAGTTAAAGATAATCGAGCACCTTTTGAAAGTCGTGTCTGATAAGAAATCCCTGGTGCAAGGAACTGCAAGTCTCCCTGAAAGACAGCCTTTATTAGACAACGGTGAAATGACTCCCAAACGGCAAAGGAAATCTGATAACCCGAGTCACTTACTTTCTGCAGCAAATACTGATGCATCTAACATTGCTGATGGTGATTTAATTAATACCACTTACTGCAAAAATTCAGCTTGTAAAGCTAAACTGAATCGTGAAGATGTGTTTTGCAAAAGGTGTTCGTGCTGCATTTGTCGACAGTATGATGACAACAAGGACCCAAGCCTGTGGTTAGTTTGCGGCTCAGACCCTCCATTTCAAGGCAAGTCATGTGGCATGTCGTGTCACCTTGAATGTGCCCTGCGGCACGAAAAATCTGGGATCACTAATAATAGGCAGGATAAGGGACTTGATGGGAACTTTTGTTGTGTATCTTGTGGAAAGGTGAATGATTTGCTCGGGTAAATGTCTGTCCTTGGTTCCCTCTTTTTTCCTTAACTTTTCATTTCCATGTACTATTACTGCAAAATTACAAAACTTGGGTTGCCTTGCTTTTCTGTAGGCACTCATCTTTTTTTCATTTACTTAATTGTTATATCTTATATAACATGAGGAATCAAAATGATTCTAGCGAATTTTTTCATCTTATAAAATAATATTATGCAGCTCATGGAGAAAGCAACTAACAGTGGCTAGTAATACGAGGCGTGTGGATATATTGTGCTATAGACTCTCCTTAAGCCGAAAGATTCTTGCTGGAACTAAGCATTACAAAAATCTATATGGAATCATTGATGAAGCAGTGAAAAAGCTTGAAGAGGATGTCGGTCCTTTAACTGGTTTACCTGTGAAGACAGCAAGAGGAATTGTAAACAGGCTTTCATCAGGACCAGAAGTTCAGAGATTATGTGCTTCTTCAGTAGATTCTCTCAACTCAATAATTTCTAACAGGGAGTCCGATATACCTTCTGGTACATCTCTCTATTTCTCTCTCCCCATTTTCGAACACTTAATTCCCTATTGAATTTTTTCAAGTGCTGGTTCCATTTCGAGGCAAGCTATAGCCATATCGCTCATTCTGGGATTAAGTTTTCTAGGTACCACTATGCTTGCTGCAAAACTTGTCAGATTTGAAGATAACAACATTAGAGAGAGAGAAATGCATCAAGCCCAGTTCCAGACAGGTAACTCTCAAAGTGAAGTAGCAAATATAAATTCTACGAACGTGGAAGTAGAGCAAAGTCAAAGTCCGGCCACCAACTGTAGCGCCCTTTCTAATCCTTCTTCAGTGGAAGATGAAACTAACAATGTCATGCCATGCAGCAACATGGACAAGACTAGAGGTGATAATTAT